AGAGGGCACCTGAAACAGAGAATATAATTTAAAGAACCATTCATTTATAATTAAGATTTCAGCAATCTCAACTGTGAATCAAACTTTCATAAGATTGACTTTTGCTTTGGTCAATTAATATAGCTTTAAGTATCCTGAAAAAATTCACAAAAAAATTAAGAGTTATATTAAGAGTTAAAACACTTAATATAAAGAGCAGAAAAAGCCCAAATTAAGCCATTTGCTTTTAGAAATTCCAACTGAACAAGCATTACTCACAGAAGAATTCCCAAAGTTCCCCACATACTTGGGCCACGGGGATGTGAGCAGGATATCAACACCCTTAAACTGAGGGGTCGAACACAGCATTGTTCTCAGGGAAGAGACATCCTTGGGACTAAAACTGTAACCTGGGACTGGCTCATTCAAGGACTCTGTCCCACTGAGGTACACAATCTGCAGCCCCGAGGTTCCAGTGAAGACACCTTTCCGCCCTGGGTTCAAAGAAAAATGGACAAGTTTTAGTCAAAACTGCAAAATGAAATGTCATTATGGGGATCAATCTCTCCCCACGCCACGATTCTGCTACCCCCCTGCCTTCCATGTCTACTGTAAAGCCCTAGAGCCCCTCTGGCTGCTGGTCTCAGTGTCGGACGGCTACAAGGTACTCCTGTTCGGTAAGAGCAGCTGCTGGAGCCCGCTGGTCAGTCTGTTTACCCAGGCGCTAATGAAAAGAGGTGGGAAGCAAAAGGCTTCCTGCCTCCTAGAGGAGATTCTGCATAGATTAAAAGAAAGCCAGACACCTGGACATAATGACAGGCGATGAAAAGAAAAAGCTATCTGCAGTTCTGAGGAAGGTATAGTCTAGAACAGATGTACTCTTCATGCAGGCAGCAGCTGCCAATTGAAGGAAAACGTTTCAAAAGAGCAGCTATTTGGGGAAAATTGGCAACTCTTCTGAATTTATCCCTTGGTTGTGCCTTCAAGACCTTGCTCCATCAGTTTTCAACTTCCTCTCATCTACTAAGTCTCTTCTTCTCAACTGGCTCTTTCCATTCAGGAAATAGAATATTAAACATACTAATGAATATACATACTAATGAAGGCACATACTAATTAATAAACACACATACTAACTGATAAAGAAACCTTTTCCTCTTCATTTTCACATTTTTCAAAAGAGCAGTCCGTCCTAAGTGCTTTACCTTTTAATTAGCTGCTTAACCGACTGCAATCTAGTTTCCCTCTCCCACCATTCTCTTAAAGGTCACTAATCACCAATCGTCTCTACTCCTGAAACTATTCTCTCTTCACTTACTCTATGAAAGATACTATCTTTACCTCTCCCAACACACCTGCAATTACTTTCACCTCTGTCTGCCTGCCTTCTAAGTGAAGATATATGACCACAAGAAACTATCATCTGCCTGCTTCCCTTCTCATATTTCTTAACAATTTGATCCTCTTCTCAGCTTTATTTCTCATCTTTGTGGGACCAGCTCCCCAAAACCTATACTCTCCAACACTGACTTCATTTATAAACTCTAGAAAGATCATGTCCCACTATAAGTTGGATGTTCTGCCAGCACTTCAAGCTCAGTATCACATGTTCACTATTAAGTTCATTGTTTGCTCCTCCTACTGGATCTCAAAAATTCTCTTTCACAGAAATAACCTAAATACCTCAGCTGCTCTTTCCACTCTTGGCACTAACTTCATATGGTAAAATGGCTGTCATAAATATCTACAGCAGTGGCCTTAATCCAAATCTAATGACTACAGTGAGAATTGCCATAAGTCAGGCCCAAAGTAAGAGCTACAACAAAAGGATCCCAAAATGTATTTCTCACAATGGTGGTTAAAAACAACAAATAAAAATCTGTCCCTCGATTTTTTTGCCTAAAAGAATTTCTTATGATTGAAACAAGATGAGATTGCTTACAAGACGGTCATAGTCAGATGTAGGGAATCAAATAAAGGCCAAATGGATTATGGTGGGGAGGGAGAAGGGCATTGACAACAAAGAAAATGTAGAAGAGAAATGAGAGGCCAAGAAGGAGGAACTGTGAAGAGCAGTGGAGCTATTTGAGGGGGAAAAATGAGCTGAATGATCCAAGAGGCTTTGGACTGAAAACAAGTGAAGAGAAAACAAAGTAGCCCGACACTGAAAAGCCACTAAATGAGATGCAGGGGGTGGGAGGAAACAACTTGAAGGTGAAACTAAGGAGTGGACCTGGAACTAGAAAAAGGACAAAGGAAGTGAAAAACCCAAGGGTCGGCACTAGAAGCTTCAGTTTCAAAAAGCTCAGTGAGACCTAGAGCTAGAGCTACTAAGGAATCTATGAAGTAAGCTGTATGTTATATGGTGAGACCACATACATGGATTATTTTAAACATAATTTATACTTTACTCTCTCTATACATAGTCAAGTAATTCATTCCTCTGTTTGGCTGAAAGAGTACGTATTTGGTTGTGGGAACACAAGATTTGAGGGAGGTGGAACAAACCACAAAGGTCTGAACTAGATAATACCCTTACCTCTCCCAACATTCCTGTAAATATTATAGTCTTAGTCTTAAGGGTATAGACACAGACTTTGGGAAAGAACCCCGCTGACCCCCATTCTGTCAGGCAGTAATAGCAGAAGAATCTAGCCACAAATTTCCTAGGAGACTTTCTTATGTTCACTACAAACAAAAAAATATCAACTTACCCAGATAAGTAATGTTCTCAGCTAATTCACAGCCATCAGCATCTTGGAAATATTTTACTGTTTCCTGGTTATTGGCACCTAGCACACATGTCTGAATAGGAGCTGGTGAGAGAAACAGACATGGCACCGCAGTTACCAGATCTGCTTTGGAACTTGAGCAATGCTTCCACATAGGAAAAATAATCATAGCAAAAGTAACGAGTCTGCAATCCTACATGTGGAATATGATCACCAGTTAGCCTATCCTACGCCCAACCTTGAGGCCTGATTATTAAATGGTATCACCAGGATGATGAAGTGAAATCTTAAAGAGGATGGTCAATGTATAATTGGGAAAAATAGTCCCTAAAAAGCTTAAAAAACACATATACTGATACTGGAAAAAGGAAAGAACACATATGATTTCATTTATTCAATTCTGGCCTACTTGAAAAAGAATGATTTTTCTGGAACTAATTCCAACCAAATTCAAAATGTGAATCAGCTCAATGCAGAGCTCAAAGGGAAATTCTAAAATAACTACCATTTGTGAAAACAACCCAAAAGAGACTGTGTAGTCTTAAAACTTTGTAAGAAATCATTTGATAAAAAGAATTTCTATACCTTTTTTGATGCCAGTTTTATACTCCTCCCATTCAGCATCTGGAGTGGAGCCAAAGAAATTTCCTACACACAACAGCAGCTAAAATGAGTTTTTTAAACAGATATATGAGTTTTTTATATCAAATGGTACATAATTGATAGTAACATTACTCAGCTAATTATCCTAAGTAATGGTCTCAAACCAGGTTTTTTTTCCTTAATCAACTTGCAGAATTTCAATACATAATTGTTTAGTAACAGTTGTATAAATTACTACATTTTGTCTTACTGACTGTCAAATTCAAGTTGGGAATGGGGAAGAGGGGGTCCAGAGAAAGATGGAGAAATCAACCTTAAAGAATCCTCTGTGAAAAATAAAACTTTAAATATTAGATACCTTGAGAAATACAGGGCATAAAAAACACATGTGCTGCCTGTGGTCTTTACTCAGCCTTTAACCCAATCAGCATATAATCCCCAAACCTAGAATACTCTCCTGTACTCTAGGAGTTTACAGTCTAGTTGGCAACCACACATAACATTTAAGGCTCTTTGGTTTGTGAAGCACTTGCTCATGTTATCTGACTTAACCTACACCATATATTCATGAAATACATCTGTGCTTCCCAACCCAGTGGTCAGAATTACTTAGGTGGGGGAGGAGGAATGTATAGGGGAGATAAATGGAGATGGATAGAGACCTCACTTGGGGTGGTGAACACACAGTACAGTGTACAGATGATGTGTTGTGGAATTGTATACCTGAAACCTGTATAATTCTGTTAATAAGCTCAATAAAAAGGAAAAAAGAATGATTTAAGGATGTTCTGCTAGTCTGTTTTCATATTTGTGTACATTAATAAAGTAACGAGATTGAAATTTTAAAAGTATAAAAAGGTAAACAGGTCTCCTTCCCCCACTGCTCTGCAGCTACTAAGTTCCTATGCTCACAAAAGGTACCCAATCTAACAACAAAAAAAGGAGCATGTGTTAAATCAAGAAATGAATAAAGGAGCCCAAACTTTATATTTGTATATTGACAGTAAAATTAAATCAGAAAAAGGAAACATCTTACGTCAAAGTTTCCACTTTTCTTCTGAATTGCTCGAACTCTATTGAATAAAACATCAAACTTTCCTTCAACATCTCCACAAGCCAAGCTGCAAACAAGAGATAAACGTTAAGGCAATTCAGGAAACATGAACAGGCCGGCCAGGTCTCCCTGGATCACGCAGACGTGTGATCAAGTCTTCCTGAGGCTACCTGACAGGTTCAGTGCATGTGAACTATTACTGACCAGGGGCAACTTCACCCGTCTCACCAACACCTTCAACTCACCCTACCCAACGTTTACCTTATCTTTTCCTCCAAAACTGAACCAGCTTCTCCTCACTTCCCAAATACTGTGGATCGGCCATTCACCAACCTGGTCACTAAGAATCAAAAATCTCCCCTCCAATCCCCAAATGACATCAATCCCTTTGTCAAAACATCTTGCACATCCATCCTGCCCTTTTTATTTCCATTGTCATTATCTTAGTCCAGAGCTTCAATCCATTCAATAAATACATACTGAACACCTATAATATGCTAAATGCAATATACCAAGTCCTATGCTAAGAACGTATTAGGAGTACAAAGGGGGGTAAGACAGTTCAAACCTCAGAGTTTACAATCAGGGAAGGGACGATACTGTCGTAGTCATAAATTTATACAGGGTGGCTCGGCCCAACATGGCGATGCACAACAAGGCAGCGCCACCGCAGATCCCGGACACCCGGCGGGAGCTGGCGGAGCTCGTGAAGCGGAAGCAGGAGCTGGCGGAAACGCTGGCAAACTTGGAGAGACAGATCTATGCTTTCGAAGGAAGCTACCTAGAAGACACCCAGATGAATGGCAATATCATTCGTGGCTGGGATAGGTATCTGACCAACCAAAAAAACTCCAATAGCAAAAACGATCGAAGGAACCGGAAGTTTAAGGAAGCTGAGCGGCTCTTCAGTAAATCTTCAGTTACGTCAGCAGCTGCAGTAAGTGCATTGGCAGGAGTTCAGGACCAGCTCATTGAAAAGAGATTGATCTGAAGTTAAACAAAAAACCACGAGCTGACTATTAGAAGACGCATTAATGCAGCAGCTTCCAGGCTGTAGAGCCCTGCTTCCCTCCTCCGGCCTCACAAAGATAAACATCCCTTGCCTGAGAGGTGGCCATCCACCTCTGCTTTCCCAGACCTGGTGCCTGTGACTCTGAGTCGCTTGTTCTGAAATGTGGTGACAAGTCATTTCTGTAAGACCACATCGGATCATTTACTTTGTGTCATTCTTAGTAACAGAACTGCAGGAAGACCAAGACCTGGTTGTAATCCCAGCAAGTTGCTAACTGAATCCCTTCTTGGAACGAATATCTCTCCCTAACCTGGCCGGCACCAGCTTCATCTGTGAGAGCCACTGAGAAATGGCCTGTGCTTTTATTTTACGCTGAAAGTAGAGCACTGATCACATTTCATGGGAGGCTGTAAATACCTGTCATTTTCTTATTTTGTTTGTGTTTCATTATTTTTCTATTGTTGTTTTTACCATCTTATTTCTTTTGGGGCTTTTTGTAATGACTTTGTACAGCTCATACCTTCCGGCTGGCATATCTAATAATCTGTTTCACGGAGTTGCCAATGTTCTTAAACTGAAAGTGACCTGGTTTACCATAAACAAAATGGGGAACTTGGCTCTTCGGTTTTTCACAGGGGAAAGTTAAAGAGTGTTTATTTAATAATTACTTATCTTAACTCTTTCTGAGTTGGGAGTAGTTTCATGTTCAAGGAATAGGAAAAGCTGAAAAACATAAGTTTAAATCAGTCCTTTTAAAAATATTTTTATTCTTTTTGTATAAATAAAAATCCACAGGATTTGACTTCTCATGCTTTACTTTTAAACTTGAGATTTTTTTTCACTTATTTATTCATATCATGCCTTATGGAAATTTCTTTTTCCACCTTTTCTCTCTTTGCTGGTATTTGTCTGATTAAATAGTGCTTGAAAAATCACTAAGGCATATGAAAAGGCTCAAAATTGTACTCAAAGCTGATACCACACAGAGTTCTTGAGCAGAGTGAGAGATAGGATCAACAAAAGCCAGTATCGCCCAACAGATCCCCCTTCTCAGGGGGGTGATGAGCCCAGGAACTTGCTGATCATCGTTACTGGTCGTTGTTGCCCGTGGAGCAGTTGTGATCTACCTTGGCTGCACATTGGAATCACCTGGGAAGCTTAAAAAAATACTCATTCCTGGGTCTCACCCCAGAGATTCTGGGCCAGGGTACAGTCTGGAATGGGGATCTCTCTTCTGAGAGTCCCTGGGTTCTGATAGGAAGCCAATTAAGAACCACTGTGTTAGACGGGATGATGCGACTTAAATCCTGTGTTGTGAATCAGTCTAAGCAGGGATGAGACTTGGGGGCCTCCCCTTCCCTTGGACTGTATTTAGTCATAGTCCTTTACTTATGCCTATATCTTTGTTAGAAAAAATATGTTCCATTTGTGATCATATTGGTAGAGCTGAATGTGGGTGATGCTGATTATCAGAACAATTCTACTTTGTCGGATGTACAAAAGCTTTCACTCTTGTTCTCAATAAACCTTTCTTTCCTTTTTTTTTTTTTTTTTTTTTGACCCTGTGGCTATTTAGATGTCTTTGGCTATGTCTTTGGTAGCAGAACTCTAATGTCAGGGTATTTAAGGAAATAGTTTCTTATATGTAGATTGTTCCTTTAAAAAAAAAAAAGAAAAACTAAAAACAGTGGAAACAAAAAAAAAAAAAAAAAAATTATACAGGGTGGATCAAAAGTAGGCTTACAGTTGTCTGTATGAAAATTACAATAATTAATAAATGATAATACAAAAATAAACTGTGTTTCACGTACTCACAACTGTAAACCTACATTTGTCTCAGCCTGTATAAAATGGGCTTCAACAGCCCTGGCTGGTGTGACTCAGTTGGTTGGAGCATCATCAAATACACCAAAAGGTAGCAGGTTCGATTCCCAGTCAGGGCACATACCCAGGTTGGGGGTTCAATCCTGGGTCAGGATGTGTGCAGAAGGCAACCGATTGATGTTTATCTCTCACATTGGTATTTCTATCTCTCTCTAAATATCTATAGAAATGTATCCTTGGTGAGGAAAATAAAGGGGGGGGGGGAGACTACAATAGGAGGTATGTATAAAGTGCTATGGGGCAGGGAGGTAGAAAGTGGCAAGAGCTTAACCCTACCAGACCGCTGTACCGATTTTTCAGTAATTTCCACACAAAGGTGGAATATTGGCGCTAGATGAAAGGTAGACCTATTTTCTACAATGTCTCCAAGTTCCATCTTATCCTAACCACTTGTTTGCATGTAACTAACGTTTTTCTATATCATGTTGGTTTTTTCTCTTTAATGCTCAGGAGCCCAGGTATAGGGGACAGTTAGGTTCAGGGTCTCAGGTCTGGTAGGATTAAGGTTCGTAAGGCAGACTGGCCCTAAGTTGTGAACTAACTTGTTCTATCATATCATTTCTGAATTTTTATAATTCTGATTTACATGGTTTTCCCACTTCTCATATTTTATGAATGTCTTAACATATCTTGAAATATATTTCTTATTGTTTTGCCATTCTCTCTTTCTGGTGTGCTTTTACTGTCCACATCACCAAACATTTTCAAGCTGGGTAGAGACATAAGCATATCTGTTTTAGAAAGATCCTTTCAGTAACAGAGTGCAAGATGGTCTGGAGAAAATTATCAGTGTAAGTGGCAATGTCAAATGAAGATGGGGAAGAGAGAAACAGATGGGAAATTTAGAATTCTGAGGGCCGAAACACAATTTGAAGTGGAGAAGTAGCATGGGAAATGGGGCAGCCACTGAGTCCTGTGATATGGATACAAAGTAGAGAACACGCTTACATTTCTTCTAATGCCTGATCTTCCTATCCATCCTACAAAAAGCCAACAATGTTCTTTCCTCAAAAACATGAAGCGAACTCCACTGCGTGCAGAGCCACAGCCTTCCACACGCCCCTCATCTCTCTTCCTAGAGACTTCTCCAAGTTTCCCTAACAGAAACCTTCCCGACTGTCAGTCTGATCACTCTCTCCCTCTGCCATTCCCTGGGGTTGTTAGATCTCCTAATAGTCCCACCCTAGCCATCCTGGGTCTGAATTTTTCTCATGCTTCAAATCCTGGCACATCTCTCAAGTCTTCCTGACCAGGTCAGGAAGTCACTCTCAAAACTTCGGAAAACCCAAAGCAAGCTCTGCAATAAGCTATTAAGCATTTTTACCTTCTGAGCAGCACCTCTTCTAGGGAGCCCTCTGGTCCCCATCAGTTACCAATTCTTGGTGCTCCCACAGGATCCCGCACTTCCTCTACCATAGAAGTCACATGGAATTACAGTTACTCCTGGGACAGCCATGGTCCAGCTTGTACATCACAGGACACCTCAAAATTCACCGTCTCCTCGTGTGAGCCCTTTTCCAGCGTCTCCTAGCCCATTGAAGAAAGACAAAAATCTAGGACCCCAACAGTGACTCCTTCTTACAACCGAAGCATCTCCAAACCCGGTGACCGTCTCCTCAATAAGCCAGAATCCCTGCACTCTGCTCCCGCCTCGCTCCGTCTAACCCTAGCTGCGGCCCTCCATTGTGGCTCTCATTTGTTCTCCGCGTAGCAACTGGAATCACTCTCCGAAATGAAAATTTGAGCATGCCAAGCTGTCCTTAAACATTTCAATGACTTCCTTAGGATAAAGACAAAAATATGAAGGCTCAATCCTCACGTTAAGCCAAATACTCCTATTATACACCCTCGCGGAACTGTGAACCGTTTCCTCCTGCATTGGTCACCACCGTGGCTTCACATGTCTCTGATTCTTTGGTTACTGTCTCTCGTCACTACAAGTTCCATCCAGGCGGCCACTCCATGTCCCAGTGCAGTGCCCGGCACGCGGCGAACTGTCCCGTAAACGTGAGCTGAACGAGTGGGTGAATGGAAGTCCTCTCCTCGCGGCCCCGGCCGCCCGGCCCTCCGGCTCCCTCCCTCCGCGAGCCGGGGCGGAGGACCCACCCACCACCCGCCGCAGCCCGGGCCTGCAGCCGCCGCACGCCTAGGAAGTCTGGCTTAGTCAACGGAGCGCGGGAGAAAAGAGGGGCCAGTGAGGCGTCGGAGGCCGGAGGGGCCGAACCCGGAAAGGCCGGCGGGAGCTGGGCGCTTCCGCTTCTCTGGCGAGGATCGCCAGCCGTTCCCGCCGGGAGCCAAGCCGCCGGGGAAAGAGCCGCCCCGCCGGGGAAAGACGGGATCGGAGCTCCCCGCCCGCAGAAACGTGGCAGGAGCGCACCCGCCGCGGCCTCGCTCCCATCCCCGCCTCTGGATCTCCCCTTCCCGTCGGGAGAACCCACCCCCCACCCCCGCAGACAGCCACGTGAGCGCACACGCACACCCAGAGGCTTCCGATTCGGGGCCACTCACAGGCGCAGCGGTTTCTGGGCCATCGGTGCCAAACCCCGGGTGGGCACCGCCAAAGCTCGAGACCCGCACCCCGCTCCTCCGGGCAGTGCGGTCGCAGCACAATAAGACGTCAGCGCATCCCCGCCAATGAGGGCTCTCCGACCTACGGGGAGCGGCGAGGGACAAGAAGCCTCTTGCAGGTGCGTTCTCCTCAAGGAGGAATTGAGCGAGTAAAGAGGAGAAAGGGGAAAGAGCACAAAGGAATCCCACTGTGATTTTCTAGTTCCGGGCAATTGGAGCAAGTGTCTGAGCTGCTAGAAAGTTCCCAGCACAATGCTGGGCCCTAACCTAACCATATCACGCTGGAGAGCAAGACGCTCCCTCCACACCCGCTTTTCATAGGTTTCGAACCTTTTGAAAAATTAAAAGAATGGCCATCGCCTTCAAGGCGCACAATCACTTTTATTCTCACTGAATCATCTGAAAGTAAATTCCAGACATCAAGAAGACCTCTGCATGCATTTCCCAAGAATAAGGACCATTCTACTGCATAACCATAACACCATTAACACCTAAGAAAATTAACATTAACTCAATATCACCTAGTACATCCATATTTAAAGTTCTTCATTTGTCCCCCACGCTACACACACACACACACACACACACACACACACACACACACACACACACACACAATTTATTTTATACCTTTATTTGTTTTCGGTCGGGATCCAATCAAGTTTCACACTTACATTCAATTATATCTCTAGTCTCCTTTAATCTCCCATGGCCCACCTACATTTTGGTTTTAGTTTTCATGGCATTGACTTTTTTGGAGAGTTCAGGCCAGTTGGTAGGAGATAGCAATGTTTAAAGACATGGAAACAAAGGTCAGAGAGATCCTGACAATTGAAGGACATGGAAAACTCATCAAGGGGCAGCCAAACAATTCAAAATTAACTAAAACGTAAAGTAAGTTTAAGGAAGAACAAAGTTCTGGTTTTCCTCACAACTTCTGCAATGCTTTTTGGGGCAATATCAAGTTCCCTGCCTCATAAATATTGATGACCCAGCTTCGCTGGCAAACTAAGCATGTGTTTTTCCACTTTGGGGTAATGCAGCACGGTCCAGGAATGGAGATCGACTGAATTTTGAAGAAGAGTAGAAGTTTGCCAAACATGGACGGATAATAATTTCAGAAAGGAAACAACAGTAAGAAATGAAAACGCATCCATGGAATTCTGCATTATCTTCAAAACTTTTTTGCAAATCTAAAACTATATTCTAAAGTAGAAAGTTTATGAAAAGAAAACTCATCCATGGGAATGAAGGTGGATCAAGATAGTTAAACACAATGTAAGTGTAACAAAATATGAAATTTTAAAAAAGGAAAAAAACACAAAAAAAACAGGAGCCTTGTATGCATGCCAAGTTTGGCTTTCGAATACACATTCTTCCCAAGTGCACTTGGAACATTCTCCAGAATAGGTTAGGGCACAAAACAAGTTCCAACAAATTCAAGAAGACAGAAATTATATCAAGTATCTTTCCAACCACAAAGGTGTGAAACTAGAATTCAGTAACAGGAGGAAAATTAGAAAATTGATGAATGTGTAGAAATTAAGCAACACACTCCTAAACAACCAATGGACCAAAAAAATGAAATCAAAAGGAATATAAAAGAATATCTTGAGACAAATGAAAATGGAAACACAACATACCAAAACTTATGGATGTAGCAAAAGCAGTTCTAAGAGGAAAGTTTATAGCTATAAATGTCTTTATTAAGAGACACTATCTCAAATAAACAACCTAACATTACACCTCAAAGGAACTAGAAAAAGAGTAAACTAAGCCTGAAGTTAGAAGACAGGGAATAATTAAGATTAGAGCAGAATAACAGAAACAGTCCAGAGGAGCAGAGTATAAACAGTGGTGGTCTGGAACACAGATAGTGGGAAATGATGGAAACAAAGTTAAGAACTGTTTTAGGAGATTGAATTGAGGACCTCACCCACCTTCCTAGCTAACACCCAACTATGGATAAGCTTGCCTGTCTTCTAAACTACACTGGTCAGTCATATTATCCACCTACTGATGTCCTTGGTCTGGGAGGAAGATGATCAGGTCCCCAGGAGCCCCCCTCATCCTGCAAACAAAAGTAGGAACATATTTTATAAAATGCTTTTTTTTATGAGTGGCAGCCCCACCTGCCCCACCCCCACCTCATACATACATACGCATACACATCCTGTCTTTGTCTTTATCACATTTCCAAAGGGGAATACATGTCAAGATGTCATCCATCCTGAGACATCTGATTCACACAAAGAAGAGACAGGAGGGCCCATGGTATACACCAAACTATCACAACACTCCTTTCACCATTTCTGCTCAGTCTAAAAGACTCGGCCTGAAATTATTTTAAGATTTTTTTATTTATTATTATTTACTTTTACAGAAAAGTAAATTACACAAGATGAGAAACTGAAGAAGTTTGTTTTATTTTCCTTTTTAAATTTAGATTCCTGTTAGCAATACATTAGCTCAAAAAAAAACACCAAACAAACAAACAAAAAAACCATTTACACAGTAACTCAAAATCCAGCCACTTAGAAAATAAGCCCTCTCATTTGATTCAACTGAAAAGCCCAGGTTTATCCTGAACTTTGAGAGACTTGGTGTCCTAAATAGATAATTAAACATTCAAGTAAAAGGTAGGGGGTGATAAGTGTGCGTTTCTGAGGGATGCTGCCCCAAGAGAAATTCAGGAGTAGCCACAGTTCTCCAGTTTACTCCAATGGCGGGATGCTTCTGGGACGGCCAGCATGGTTTCCTTTTGAGGAGTTGTGACAATTCATCAGCCTCAGGATTCAGGTCTCATTCTTCCACATTAAAAAAAGACTTTGTTCCACAGGAATAAGTTTTTCATCGCTTCTCCAGCTTCTTGTACTTGGCTTCTGCGAGGGTGAGAGTTATATTTAAAAATGGCTCTTACAAAGATACTTCTTCATTAGTATTTCCTAGCAAGTTCAAAAATGTTTATTACATTTTAAAAAAATTTACTAGCCCCAATCTCATCAGCTGTCCAAATTGTAGGCACACCATAAATGTTAACTACCATATTAGCTAAGGACAGATATTTGAATATCTATCTAAATTTTATTGATAGGCACAGCTTAAGGTAAGAAGTCAAACACACACATAGAATAAAGAACCCGACACAAGTTCACTATGTTCTAACCCTGTCAGCAGCACCTGCTCAGATGGCTCCACAGGGAGTAAGCAGATCTACGGGCACTTGAGCCACTAGGAGCGTAGGAAATTGCCTCTCCAGGCACTGTGCCAGGCACCCTCTGGGAGCCAGACTGGAACTCTCAGGAAGTATAAATATATGTTTTACCTTTTATTGTCTTATCCCCAGAAAGCAATTTTGAAAGATACAAAGATTTAAAAGACCATCAAATAGGCTTTTTAATGGAGTGGATTCCCTTTGTCTTTAAAACTTTAAAAGCACCTTAGTACAATGCCACCTATATAGTTAGGTTCAAGGTCACCATTCAGAAAATTTAATTTTAGACAATGAAACTGTGAATCACCACCCACATCAAATCTCAGTCTGCTACAAACTACTCTCTCGAAGTAGTCAACAATTGTTTCTGATAAAAATAAAATAATCTGTAAATTATATCTAGGATAAAAACAACTTTGTTATTTTTAGTCATGGTTATAAGAGCCAGAAACAGTTAGTAAGCCATCAACACTAAAAGTACTGTTTCCTCCTTAAAGAAAAAGTAATTATTGAAGAAAACCCTTGCATAACTATCCTGTTTATTAAGACATATGTATCTACATTATTAAAGATGCTCTAGCTCTAGCCTGCTGAACCACAATTAAGAGCTTGAGCTTTGTAATCAATCAGACCTGGTTTGGAATACAGCTCTTCCACATACTAGCTTTGTATCCTTATAAGCTATTTATCCTCTTCAACCAGTTTCCTCCTCTATAAAATAAGGATAAAAATCATGTACTTATCTCATAGGTTATTGAGAGGATAAAAAACATAATATATGTAAAGCACTAAGAACAGTGCCTGATATATCAAATACCCAGAAAATGTTAATTACTAGTACTACTAAGAAATTATTCTCACTAGGTTTTTGTGAAGATTAAAATAAATCATTGTAGCCCTGCCCAGATGGCTCAGTTGGTTGGAGAGTTGTCCTGTGCACCAAAAGGTGACAGGTTTGATTCCCGGTCAGAGCACATATGTCAGTTGCAGGTTCAAACCTCAGTCAGGGCACCTATGGGAGGTAACTGAACAATGTTCTCTCTCATATCGATGTCTCTCTCTCTCTCTCTCTCTCTCTCTCTCTCTCTCTCTCTCTCTCTCTCTCTCTCCCCTCTCTCCCTCCCTCCCTCCCTCCCTCCCTCCCTCTCCCTCTTCCTCTCCCTCTCCCTCTCCCTCTCCCTCTCCCACTCCCTCCCTCCCTCTCAACATATCCTCGGGTAAGCATTAAAAAGAAAAAAAGATCATTGTAAACACCTCATCAATATTAACTATCATATTAACTAAGGTCATAACGGCAGGTACTCTTATTAAGCAAAACAGAAATAAAAAGGGTTACCCAGTTTTTTGGAATATGCATCCAATTTGTAGGCTGCCTGTTCAAGAGCTGCTACTTGCTCCTCAATTACATTGATTTGATCCAGATAAGGCTGTAGTTCAGCATCTTTGAAAACAAAGACAGGCCACATGTTTCTATGGCTTCAACAAGTGGAATAGAAGAGAGTGAAAATGTAAGAGTGCTAGTGTCTCTCCAGCTCTGCCTAAGACACACAAGGTGGGATGACAAACGCTTTAGACGACAGTAACTAGCTGATCAGGCATGACTGTGACCTAGACAAAACAAGTCTCTCTCATCCATTAACTTTGTCTCTTAAATTCCTTATTCTATAAGCAATCTTTCCATTACAGATTCCATATCTTGGGTACTCCCAGACCAGGAAAGAGACAGGGAACACAAATATAAGCTAATGGAAAAAATATAGTCTACCAGTCTAAATGAGCATTTTCCATTTATAGATGTTCTGGTTTTCTGTTCGTAAGAGTAATCCTTTATGGATTTCATTGTTAAATCAATTCACTGATTTCACTGTTAAATCAGAATCTGGCCACCCTTTCTTTTCCCCATCACTTTTCAGGTATAAACTGATCAAATCAAGATTCAGAAGCAGAAATAACCATACCACCAAAACATGCTCCTCAGAATGGAAGAAATGCACCTTAACTTTGTAATTCACTTAGAAAATGAGCTCCCTGAGTACAGAGGCCATGTTCCATCTCCTTCTCCATGGCCCCAATCATAACAGAACATTTATTACAAAGGTGTAATTATAAAAATTATTACTTACACTTCTGGTTTAAGTCCTTTAAGTTTCTACTAATGTTTATAGCAATATCTTTCATTTCAAGATACTTCAGGCTGGTTAATTTATTCATATTTTCCAGGAGCTTATAGTCTTCGCTGGTGGCTTTAAAACAAACAGAAGATATAATGCCTTTAATATTTGTCTTGGATAATTGGAATGTGGAATTAGAGGCCAAATGGTGGTTCAAGGCAGGATCTAGGGAATGTCAAAGGAGCAAGCCACTTTTTTTTTTTTTTTTAAATATATTTTATTGAGTTTTTACAGAGAGGAAAGGAGAGAGATAGAGAGTTAGAAACATCGATGAGAGAGAAACATCGACCAGCTGCCTCCTGCACACTCCCCACTGGGGATGTGCCTGCAACCAAGGTACATGCCCTTGACCGGAATCGAACCTGGGACCCTTCAGTCCACAGGCCGACACTCTATCCGCTGAGCCAAACCGGTTTTGGCAAGCAAGCCACTTTTGACCTATGACATTTATACTCAGCCTGTGTACTCTAAATGTCTAAGTAGAAACTCAGGCAACAATCAGCAAATTATTTAAACCAAATAAGATCCATAAACTTCAGGATCTGGGTTAGAAAGGGATATGATAAACGTATGTCCTAAGAAAAGGGAAGTGAAATAGACTTGGTATTTCTACAGTGTGAAAACATGTAAACTGGGGAACTGCACCATAAATATTATTTGTATATACAGTCAACTAGGACCTTACCACTTCTTAGTAACTCACTTATTACTATGTGATGATTCTACACTGCATTTTATGCACTGACTTTTCCAAACCATTTGACTGCTTCTCATATTCTCAATTCTTTGCCCCATCCCTACTCAAAGCACATGGCTTCTACTCCAATTTTCTCAAGCTGCCTCAGCCTTTTTGCCTCACTTAGAAATTTCTCTGTACCTTAATATCTTCCCAAGAGGAACAAGTGCTTTATTCCTGCCAAGACAACTCCACCTGCTGTGTTCTTGATCCCCAACTCTTCTATCTCTTCAGGGCCTCTCTTCAATCATCTCCTTTCTCTTACATTTCCAAACTCTTTCCATCCTGGATCTTCCTCTCTATTAGAAATATATCCAGGATTCCTCCAGCCCAAAAGTGCTCATTTGCTCAAGAAAGCAAAGGAGCTTCACTGCTAACTCTTTTGAAAGAATAGTTTACACTCACTGCTTCCTCGTCCTCACCATTCACTCATGTGAACCCCTGCAGTCTGGCCTCTGCCCCTACCATCCTGGGAAATTACATGCCCCAAAGTCTCCTAACCATGAAATTCATAGTTCTAATTCTCCTGAACCTCTCTATAGTGTCTGACACTATGCTCTCCCTCTCTTCAGGAAATTCTCCCTTGGCTGCTATAGAATTGTATACTGTATTACAATGATTTTTAAATCTCCTTCTAACTGTTCTGGTTTCTATGCCAGATCCTTTTTAAACCAACCTCATTAACGGTCAGTTCTCAACTTTTCTCAACTGTGACACATAACTGACGTTTACACGGGTGGCACATTCCCATGGTAGTTCCTTTCAAACTCAAAAAAGTATTTATGCAAGTAAAAATGACAATCGGGAGAAATTACAATCTGCTTAAAATTAATCAATCAGCCCTAGCTGGTTTGGCTCAGTGGATAGAGCATCAGCCTGCTGACTGAAGGGTCCCAGGTTTGATTCTGGCCAAGGGCACATGCCGGGGTTGCAGCAGGGGGCGTGCAGGGAGCGGCCGATCAATGATTCCCTCTCTCATCATGCTTCTCTCTCTCTCTCCCTCTCCCTTCCTCTCTGAAATCAATATATATTTTAAATTTAAAAAAATTTAATCAATCATCTGAAAACTAGGTACTTAAAATACTGTTATTAAAAGCAAAGTAACTGCCCTATGCCGGCATTCCCTGAGATTTTAGTCAAGGTGCTCTGATCTACCTCTAAGCTCTTCCTTGCCAATCTCATCCTGCACAGCCTCAGCTCACAGCACTATGCAGGTGCCCCACCCCCCCCATAGTAAAATCTGTTTCTCCTGCTCTGACCATTCTTTGAGATCTGGACTCATGTGTTCAAGTCACCTGAGTGTCTTAATAGTAGTCAACTGAGTGTCCTGGTAATATCTAAAATCAGCCAAGCCCAAACTGAAAATATTATTTTCACATTAAGCATAGTTCCTCTTTCCAACTTCCCTATTTTGGTTGATGGTGCCACCCAGGCTTAATAGCTCAAATACTAGTACATCCATCTTGGGCTGCTCCCAATCCCTCAACACCCACCTTAACAAGTTCTACAAATCCCACTTCTATAATGTTCTTGCACCCATGCCTTCCTTTCCATTCCTTTTACAGTCACTCCGTCACACTGGGCCAGACTTCACCTTTTGGACCCTCCTCAGCACACAGATCATGTGTTCATCTGGAAATACACCAGGAACCAAAACCTAAATCACCCAAGGGGTGTCACCAAATCCTCTGGCCAACCTAACAGGTCCCCATTCCCCAATCCCCTTTTCTCTCTGCCCCAATAAATACAACTGTTTTGGCCAAACACATTACTCACTTATACACACACAAACACGCACTGGTTGTTTCCCTCCTTTTGGGCCAATCATTCCCTTCACAACCTGCTCAAAATGCCCTTCCGCCAAGGAGGCACTTCTTGATTCTTTTTTGTTTTCTCAGCGTTAGTCTGCAATACGGAGGCCTGTTCAGTTGTATTAAGTATTCTTATGTGTGTGGTTTTTAAAAATATATATATTTTTATTGACTTCAGAGAGGAAGGGAGAGGGAGAAAGAGAGACACATCCATGATTAGAGAGAATCATGGACCAGCTGCCTCCTGCACGCCCCCTACTGGGGATCGAGCCTGCAACCTGGGCACGTGCCCTGACCCCCTGACCGGAACCGCACCTGGGACCCTTCAGTCCACAGGCCAACGCTCTATCCACTGAACCACACAGGCCGGGCTTCTTATGTGTTTTTGAAGGCAGTTCGTGAATTTCTCCAGGGAAGGAATGAACCTCTTTCCTTCCCATTCATGACGGCGCCAAACTTCCAACAGGCATGTTTCTGGGCAGGTGGGGTTCGGGAGAGGGGGGCGCAGACCGAGGCTGCGGAAGCACCTCCCAGGTCCCCCCCACGATAAACCGCAGCTCCGGCGAGGGGTGCCCCGCCTCACCCGTCAGTTCCCCCGTCAGGTAAGTTGCCATCTTGGAGAACATGTCCCGGCAGAGCTCAGTGATGTCAGCCTCCGCGGGCTCCTTGGCCTCCTCCGCTGTCTCCACCGCGGCATCGTCTGGGTCAAAGGAGAATGAATGGCCGAGTGTCCTGCCCACGGCCGGTCCCCATCCAGCCCCGGCATCCGCTCCCGCGTCCCTCCACCGGCCCTCATTCAATCGAGTCGGCTAAATTCCCCATGAGCCGTACTTTCAGGCCCCTCGCTCCGTCCGGGCCGCCCTGACACATCAGCTCTGCTCCCTCGCACGGCTTCGGCGCCCACCGACTCCGCCGCCAACCATCTCACTCGCCCCGACCGGGCACAGGACACGCCTGCACACACGGGTCCGCCCCTCCGACCCGCCCGCTCCTGCCAGGTGACCCCGGCATCCGGGCCCAGCCCACATTCCCAGGCCTCCCTCCGGACACTTCATCCCCCTCCACTCGGCGGACCTCTAACCGGCTCCTCTCGTTGGCTCGCAGGGACACCTTCGGGCGCCGCAACCGCCGCCGCCGCCGCCGCCGCCGCCGCCGCCGCCGCCATGCTGGGCCCCGCGCCGCTTCCGGTTGGGGCGTGCCTGCGCATGCGCACCGGGAGCCCTGGGTTCGCCCTGGGTTCGCCCTGCCCTCTCTCCGCCAAGTCTTGCCGCGCAAGTTTGAGTAACAAAATGTAAGCGTGAAGCCACCGTTGAAGCTAAGAAAGGCTATCGTGAGTGGATCCACTGCCAAGAGTCGCGACGTCTGGAACTGAGGATGCGCTCCTCCTAGACGGGTCACTAGTCTGGTGAAACTCGCGACCCGTCCGGTCGGTCTGAGGATCGAAGGCACCGGAGACCGGTCACCCCTCCCCGGAGACTCCGCGCCCGGCTGCTGTGAGTTGCCAACGACTGCTCGGAAAATCCGTGCTTTTGGACGTAGTCGCACTCAGGCTTAGGGAAACCTTCCGGCGTTGATCCCTGCGCCGAAATACTCTCCCTTTCAATGTCCTGGATTAAACCCTACTCCTTGGCCCCTTTTTCGTAAACTGCAGGATGGCACCTCCTTCTCTTGCTGATGCAGCCTTTCTATAAGAAGGCTTAGATCGTAACTTTTTTTAGGGCTGAGGATAGACTGTGGTTCTTTACTGCGTGGTGCTGTTTCACAAGTCTCCTAGGTATACAGAGTGTACTTGGTGAGATGGGTGACGGAAATGGATAAGAAAAAGCGACTGGGGAGCAATGGGAGGTGCAAAATGAGGAAGGGATGAGGATCACAGGGGAAGGGAAAGGAGATAGGTAGGAAGTCCTGAGATGCAGACCTGTGCACCCAAAATCTTGGTGTAGAAGTTTTTGGTCTTATCCCTGGTTATCTTCCATCTGCACCCTCTCACCCTCCCCCACTTACCAACTACCCCCCCACACACACACACACACCAAAGTAAGGGGGCTACCTTATTCCCTTCATTCTGAGGACCAGGTCTCCTAGGTGACTGTCTCCAGTCTCTAATGGTACAATCATAGTGCCCACCAGTTCAAACCATTCCTATGAGCCAGATCTTATTTCAGGACTCCCGGAGCAGCCAGCTCCTTCATCTTGCCACTGCCTCCACTCCAGACCTCCCAGCAGGGATGAGCTGTCCCCACCCCAAGTACAAAGTTGACTCTCAGTTCCAACTCTTTTCTTCCCCTTACAGTCCCAGAAGCAAGTGCACAGACTTGATTTTCCTAAGGATTTTTATTGATAGTCACCAGGGAAACCCACACTGTCCAATGGAAGAATAGAGTCAGAGCCTAGCACATCTTAATCCAAAGATCACTGAATCTTGGGGTCAGTTCTTTGCCTGATTTTCCTCAGGCTCCAACTTCATCCTGGTTTACATTCCCTTCAGTTCCGTGTTCTGGAGGAGGTTGGGAGTAGGACCCTCCACTGGGCGTTCATGGACTGTCTCCTCAGGCTGGGGAGGTAATCGCTCCAACTCCCCTGCGACATTGTCATCTCCCCACATGAGTCTCCTCACCTGTATGACTTCCCCTTCTCTTCTACAGGGAAACCCTATGGGGGAAGACAAGAACCCAATAGGTTCTCGAAGAAGGTCTCTAGATGTCCAATGGGTAAGACTCACTGGTAAGTAGGAAGACATCTAGATATTGCTACTCTTGGATGCTATATTTTTCAGAAATCATGACTATCCAGATGCTTGGGGAAATCATTACCCTCCCTTCCTTTATTCTGTTTGTTACTGACCTCTTTGATGGTTTGTTTAATCGCTACAGCAGAGATGGGGAGCACAGGGTGTGAGAGGCCCAGTGGGAGATACTATTTCACAGAGCTATGCAGAGCTGCAGAGCCACACACAGGAACACGGAGTCACAAGCCTAAGCATGACGCTGAGTTACACACAGAAACGTGGGCTTCAAAGGCCAGACACAGGGTAGGACTTGGCGGCAGCAATGGTGGGAACTGTTGCCCTAGAAATAGAGGGAATGTGCAGAGGGGGCCTCTGGGAAGGCAGTGAGAGAGGAGCCTGCTGTCTGATGCTTTTGGAGCCCTCCCCCACCATTGTCCTGCCCACCTTCGACTCCCCAGGGGGCTGGAATCACAGCTGGGGCTGGCTACAGGTGTTCCCAAATGCCTGCTCCCCCTGTTAGAAGAAAAAGGAACAGACAGGTCATTAGAAAGAGGACTTTGTCTCCCACTTTCCTTTTATCTGGATCTGATTCTCCAATCCCAGACCATCTCCTAGAGGCCAACGCATCCCTCAGGCCAGAGCAACCACCTGTAGGCCTTGCCCCCACCCCTAACCTCCCCTATGCACTGACTACTGTGAAGCACATGTCACCCCAATAGCCTGAAAACAGACCTCTCAAAAATGTTTTGCCTCCACCCACTGAGTGGAGAAGATGGTAGAGTTCAACTGTGGGGAGCCAAGAGGACTCGGGTGAAGGGCCACTCACCATGCCTGGGGAGGGAGCCAGCTGCCCCTTCCTCTCCAGCATGCTTAGCTTTGAGCCCACAGCATCAACCTGGGCCAGGACTCCTTCCAGGACAGACTCCAGCTGCAGAACTCTCCTTGTGAGCCTGTTCAGGATTTGAGAGAGACCAAGGAAGTAGAAATATGTGCTTGGGGGATTGAGTGTCTGCAGGGGAAGGAGAACAGAATGGTGTGTGTCTAGCTGGAAGAAAAGAAGGTAAGACCCAGCCTTTAGGGAGAATTAAATGGGGGAAGAAGTTCTTCCTAGGCTAGGACAGACGATTAGAAGGTTGTGAAAGAAGTTCAAGGTAGGATATTTAAACACAGTCAGCCCTCGGTCCCTGGCTGCACGTACGTGTAGAATTCTTCTCCTGAAACCCAGTCACCTGCTCCGGTAGCCTCTGGACCCAATTTGCCTGGTGAACTCCTCACAATGGACCAGCCCAGGTTCTCAATTTCAGCATTGAGGGCCACCTGATCAGGAAGTCAGAGGTCAGAGAGGAGAAGATGACTCTGGGAAGCCATCAGCTCTTGTTCTAATTTGCTTTCAGGAATAGGCCTTGGGCTATAGTTCTTGCTATGCCCCCCTTCCCTCTCAAACTCTGGAGACAATGGAATCAGAGTAGTGGCCCTGGACACAAAGCTGGCCCAACCTCTGGAAAGGAATCACAACCCAAAGAAACAAAACGCAAGCTCCTTGAGGCCTTGATTAATGAGGTGTTCACTAGAGGCCAACTCAGTTTGGGAAAGGAGGGACAATACCAGAATTCCTCGTACTGTCCCTCCTGCCCTTGACTTTTTGGTCTACACTAGAAAGGGATGAAGCAGGAATACTATTGACAGCTAAGGATAAGAGTTTGAAAAATCTCAAAAAGAAGGAATCATCAGGGATTCTTGAGCAATTGGACCTTTCCCCCTAAAGACTATTTTAGAGCAATAGTTCTCAACCTTGGCTATGCATTGGAATCACCTGGGAAGTTTTAAAAAGTACTGATTTCTGGGGTCCCCAACTTTCACACACAGTGATTCTGGTCTAGGGTGTGGCCTAAGTATAAAGATTTTTTTAAAAGCCTCACCCAAAGATATGTTTTTTATTGATTTTAGAGAGAGAGAGGAAGGCGGGCGGGAAGAAATATCAATGAGAGATAAATATCGATGGGCTGCCTACTATATGTACTCTGACCAGATATCAAACCCATAACCTTTTGGTGCATGGGATGATGCTCCAACCAACTAAACCACCTGGCCAGGGCTGAGTATGAGGACTTTTAAAGGCTCCCATGCATTCTAATATGCAGCAATTTGAGAACTACTATTCTAGAGAGCTCTTTCCTGCTCATCTATTGGAAGGTTTTCAGTTTGGGTTTGTGTTCTGGGCAAGTTGACAGGGAGGGGAGGGTGAGCAATTTCCTTATACTACCTCTCCACCAAGCAGCTGAGCTCACCCTCTCCTCCTCCAGGTCCTGTTGCATTTGTTTTTGCTCCTTCTCATCCAGGACATGATTCCCATCTTGGTCGAACTTGGTGAAGGTAGCTGCGAGCTCAGTGATCTCGTGCTCTCTGTGGCCCAGTCTGAGGAGAACAGGATGATGAAATAACTTCTGACAAGCTGTGGCTGTGATCTCTTGATTATGGACTCCCTACTCTTTTAGCCAGATTCTGGCAGGAGTCTCATTCTCTAGGGAAGAAAGGGACCACCTCATAGGAAAGCCGGGATCTCCAAGGTCTAGCAATTTTACCCCCAAGAAATCACTTGAGTCTATTTCTTTCATTCCTGTCTCCTGGTTCGAGCCCTTGTGATCTCCTACAATGCAAAATCTCTTTGCCTTAAATAACCTGCCCTCCATTTCCTCAGCCTCCCCTTTACTCCCTACTTGAAATCCATTCTCTCTAATGCAAGTAGGGTAATTGATCTTTCTAAAGTATGGGTCTAAATGTACCCCTTCCCTTCTTAAAATGCCTCTTGAGCATCCTATCCTTTGGATAGAGTAGTAGTGTTTGAGGCTTTTCCCAATGTGGTCCTTGCCCATTTCTATGGCCTCACCTCCTGCTATGTCCCACCTTTCACTGGATACCTGAGCAATGAGCAACTGCTTATTATTCAGTGCCTGGCCTACAGCTGGTACTTATAATATATTTCTTTAGTGTTTGTTAATATGTTTAACTGGGAAGCTGGGAGAGCATAGCTAAGGAAATAAACCAGTGTTTGTGGGGGAGCATGGAACCAAGATCAGAGTTTTGTGGGAGTGAGGGATGTATACAATGATCATGGAATTATATTACATTACTCCCAAGAGTTGGTTCAACAAAGTCCACAACATTATAGAACATGGTCATAGACCTTTAAACCAAGGGCACAATTCTGAAGGACAAGATCAGAGACATATAGGCCAAGGTCAAAAGCCTATTAGCCAAGGGCAGAGACCCATAGGCCAAGATCAGAGGCTTATAGGCAAAGGATGTATGGTTGAGGGTCAAGGATTTATAGACCAATATCAGAGAAAGCTGGATCTCTGATTGCTCACTCCCTCAAGGTGTTTGTGAAATCCTCAAACTGGATCTTCTGCTCCCCACCCTGCAGGACCTTCTGCACATCCGAAACCTGTTTCTTCCTGAGACGCAGCCTCAGTAGGGTCTTGTTGTAGCCCTGGAAAGGGAAACAGGCACCAGTTCCCACAGCCTCCTCCTCATCCCTTCCCCTCACCCCCATCCACAGGATTCCAGGCTTCCAGGGACAGATTGAAAGGACACAAGAGCACAGGCCCCTACATCAGTCAGGAACAGACCAGGACACAGAGCCTTGGACATGGGCCCTGATGTAGATATGCAGCTCAAGGAGACTTAGTAGTTACCTGTTTCAGGAAGTCAGAAATCTGTAGCTCATCCTTCTGTCCAGCCAACTCCTCCTTGACCTCTGAATATGTGTCATTGATGATGGCAAGAAACATGTTCTGGAGGGTAAGGCAGGGATGTGGGTCCTTATGCCCAGACCCACTAACAGCAGGGACCCCACTGGCCCTATTAATGATCTATACATGTTCTAAAGGGGCCATGCTTTCAACCCCAGATCTGCAGCCCACTAACCCCTGAATCTCAAGGTCCCCAGAGCCCAGCCTTTCAGCAGTCCTGTTAGTGATGGATCATGAAGTGGTGACCTCACTCCATTGCTACAGTAACCTGACCAGAAAGATACCCCAACATATGCCACAGCCCCTTCATGTAAGGGCCCACCAGGCACTGAAGCCAGAAACTTTCCAAGGCGTTAATATAATTGTGATCTCTTTATCATCAATCCATGTCTGTATCCCTATCTATTGATCAAATAAATAAACCTGCTACTTTGTTAATAAAAATCAAACCCAGATATTTTATGGTTGTCAGGAAGAAAGAACAACTACACAACAGTGGTAGTAAAAATAACTAGTGATCCCCACAGGAAGGGGAGTTTTGGAGAATAGGCATGGAAGCTTTTAGGTGAAGCCCCTTCTAATGAGGCATTTTCCTCTCTCTTTCCATCCTTGGAGAATACAGGTTTGATGTTAGTGAGGTAGCCTGTAGATTCCCTTATACTGAGTAAACTACCTGACCATGCTGACCACACTGACCAATCATATTAGCCAGCTCTCAGAAGATCCAGCCCACCCCCACAACACACTCCCCATCTTTGATTTAAAAATCTTGAATGCAGCCAAAACCGGTTTGGCTCAGTGGATAGAGCGTTGGCTTGCGGACTGAAAGGTCCCAGGTTCGATTCCGGTCAAGGGCATGTACCTGGGTTGCGGGCACATCCCCAGTAGGAGATGTGCAGGAGGCAGCTGATTGATGTTTCTCTCTCATCGATGTTTCTAACTCTCTATCTCTCTCCCTTCCTCTCTGTAAAAAATCAATAAAATATATTTAAAAAAAAAAAATCTTGAATGCAGAACAGGGTCGGGGGGGTGTCAAAACCCCACCTTGCAGGCCTTCTACATCTCCCCCCTCAGGTCCCAAATCCCCACCCTGTTCTCAGAAGGACCCTCACCAGAAGCACGAAGAAGACGAAAAAGACATAGGTGACAAAGTAGGCAGGTCCCAGGATGCGGTTGGCATTGTCGATAGCATTGTAGTCAAAGTCCCCAAGGATGATTCGGAACTGAGTGAAACTGAGAGACCAGGTTCTGGGTTTTACCCAGAGCCTAACCATAACCCTGATCCCAACCCATACCCCATCCACTTTCCTAACTGCTCGTTAGTGGACTCAGACAGACGCCTCACTGCACCTCCAGCCCAATCCGATGGAGACAGGACAGGATGCACAGATACTTGAGCGCACGCATCTGGGCCTCCAGAGACCCTCACACAGATGCTTTAAGCACAGACATGCCCACGTGAATATACCCAGCTTCCCCAAGGCTACATACACCCATGGAGTTAGAGGATGAGGGGCCAGGGAAGAGGGAAGGAGACAGGACACACACATGCACTTGATGAAAGTACTAAAGTTTTCCACTTGGGTCCCGAAAAGCAGGTAGCCGAGCTGGGCATAGGCGAAAAATACGATGAAGAACATGACAGCGAAGCCCAGGATGTCTTTGGCACAGCGGGCCAGCGTGGAGGAGAGCTGGGTCATGGTTTTGTTGAAGCTGATGTACTTGAATATCTGGAAGGACCATGTTGAACCAAGCAATTAAGAAAGAAAAGAGAAAATCTTTAAACAATCCACTTCAGGGGACTATGGAGGTCACAGGAGTTGCCAAAACAGGCAAGGAAAATGAGACAAGTATTGAGGAAGGGAGAATGAGTGCACTGAGGTGAAACTGGGAGTAAGGAGTCCCAGGGTACCTTGATCCAGGCAAAGAAGAGGTTGACGGCATTCATGTTGTTGTACTGTGTCTGCCAGAAGGCGAGGAACTCGAAGTCGGCGTATGTATTTGGCTGCTGCAGGAGCGTCCCCATCAGCCTGTTCACCTCAAGAGTTCGGAATATGTGAAAGCCCACGGCTACAATGGAGAGCTGTCACCACAGGGGTTGGGGGGTCAGAAAAGTCAAGGAGATCTCAAGGGAAGGTCAGCGATGAAGTCATAGGGGTAACACAGGTGGGAAACAAAACACGCTTCATTGCTGAGTTCTTGACTATCCCAGGTTCAAATGGAACTGGATAGGATTATTGGGGAGCGTCTTCAAGCCCAAGAGAAGGTTCTGGGGCCAATGGTAAATACCTAGGTTATAAAGGACCATAGAGAACTGGAGCCAAGTAAGTTTATTTCCCCCACCACTTCCCAGCCTTGGTCAGGAAATCAATGTGTCTTATTAATAGTAATTAGACAAAGATGAAGAGGCAGGATATTTTAATATGAGAGAAAAGGCAGGAGTTTCAAAGGGGATCATAAAGGCAAGAGACAGATGAGGAACAGAGTGTCAAGTACATAAAGAAAAGAGCAGAGTCTGGATTAAAAACTAGAGGGAGGAGGGAGGTGGGAGACAAGGCTTTCCCAGGGCTGAGTCAGGGAAACATCAGCCTCTTGCTCAGAGAGCTGTTACAGAGGGATTTGACCAGAAGTCATAAGGAGGACTTGGGACTCTCAAAGGAATAACTCGGAGCCCCTATCAGGGTTGATCCCCCATCTCCTCCCAATATGTCCCAAGTCCAAGATATCTCTTCCTCACCAAAATGACCACCAGGTCCAGAATGTTCCAGATGCTGCTGAGGTAGCGAAGTCGGTGGACGTGGAGCTCCAGGATCTCCTCCACCACGTAGTAGAAGATGAAGATGCAGAAGATGATCTCACAGCCAACGATAAAGAAGTCCCAGTTGCTGACATAGCGAATCAGCTTAACTGTGCGGATTTGCCAGGATGGGATGGCACCTCCTGTGGCTGGAAACTCCACCACCAGTCTGTGGGAGGAGACTGGTGGGGCCTGGGCTGGGACAGTTACTCCCATTCCCTTCTCTCCCTATCCCCAGCACAGGTTACATGCTTAGGGAAGGGCCTCGAGCAGAGAAGAGAACCAGGAATCATGGATGGAGGGATGCAGTAGGGAAAGGGGACCCACCTCAGAACACAGAAAAGATTGACGTTGGCATTGTAGACTGAGAAGTCGATGAAGACCACCCGAGTGCCCCTGTCTAGCCACAGGCTCTCCTGAAGGTCCCGGAGTGCCTCCGCACTGCCCTGCCGGGATCCCGGAAGGTCCAGGTAGTAGCCACCTCCACTGTAGCTTGTGAGCTGGCCCCAGTGAGAGGAGCCCCCCAGCTCATCCTGTGAGTGGTATGTCCACCTGCCGAGGAAGAAGCCATCTAAGCAGATGTCTGAGTCAGCCTGACACTGATCTCCCAAGGCAACAGCAATACTTTATGATTATCCGGGCTTCACAGTTCCATACGTATTATATATACATTCACATATATAAGGTCTCCCAAAAAATGTACACACACTTTGAATAAGTAATTCCAATGTGTCTTTCTTTTCTGATTTAACCCATTGAAATGAATAAGTATACATTTTTGGGACACCCTGAATGTATATTTCACATACATGATCTTGTTGGGTGTTTAGCATCGGTTTTAGAACTGACGATAAACATTATCCACATTTTGCAAATGAGGAAACCTGCCTCAGAGGTGTCTGAGATGATCTAGCTAGTTAGTGGCCAAACTGAAACTCAAGTGTAAATCTCCTAATTTTTCAGATGTCACCCAAGACTAGGGATCACATACCCAAGCCCCACTTTTGACCCCACCCTGAGTAGGCCCCTTACAGGAAGCACCAGGCCCATCTAATACAGAAAAGTCTCTTTCTGTTCTTGTGGTCATGTACCTAGCTGGGTAACCTCATGACTGTTCTGATTACAAACTTTCTACCCTGGACCCCTTTCTTTCCTGTCCTAGCCATACTTTCTCCCTTTCTCCCCTAATTTGTCATCGATACTTGATTCCTTGCTGCTCTCCCTATCAGTTCCAAGGGTTGGACTGCCAACCCTGAAGCATCGATACTGACTCATATGACAGTATCGATGCTTCGTCAATTCTCCATATTCTCAAGTGACTTCTGGGCAAGAAAAAAAGTGCTGTCTCTGGCAGGAATGCCTCCAGAGTAAGGCAAATGTGACTGTGACCTGTATGTGGAAACAAGTCCTGAGGCTAGGGTTCAGTCTGCTAATGTACCTTCTCTGTTCCTGAATGACTCAGACCAAAGTCTCCAAACAGCCAAAGTTGGGACTTGGAGAAATCCCCCTCCCCATTTCTCTGAGTACCCCAAGGCTCTACCTCTACTTTTCCCTATGACTCTGTGGAAGTGGTTTCCAAACCTTGGGATGGTGTCAGGCCCAGAGGGGCAAGCCCTATAATATTGGTGTGGGAACTCACGCTGTGCCATTGAGGGGCCCAAAGGGGAGCTGCTCTTCTTTGTCCGGAGAGTAGACGTCATAGCAGCTCACAATGTCCTCTCGGAAGTCCTCATGTACCACACAGGAGTCATTGCGGACCCTCAGCTGCCGCAGCCTTGGAACCCCCAGCAGCAAGTTCTCATAATAGATGAAGGAGTGGGAGCCACGGCCCAGGCTCTGGTTGTTGTACCATTTGGTCCAATACAAACTGTCCAGTAGTGGGCCCTGGGCAAACTAGACCACAAGCAGGGTTGAGTCTGACCCAGCCTCATCCTGACCTCTACCCTTAGAATGACCTTTGCCCTCAGTCCCTGTTCCCCCACCTTGTCTCCAGTCTGCTTCTGTTGGACTCCTCAGCTGACCCATGAACCTTAATCAGATCTTGACCTAATGTGGCCTTACTCTTTATTTAATATGTATTTAGAAGTTCAGTCTTACCTCTGACTTCCAATACTAGTCTAATTACTGGCTTGATGCCCTGATCATCGTCCTGATCTCTCACCTACCTCTACCTTAACTCTAATCTGACCCATTAATCCTTTCATGACTCTTTGATTCAGCCTGATACTAGTCTCTGGATATGGTCTCATCCATTGTTTGACATACCTGAACTCTGGCCTGTATGTGGCCTCATCCTTCAGGCCATTGAGAAGGAGAGGGAAGGGTAGAGGTCATGTCATACTTACATCCCAGAAGTCTGCCATGCTGCTGATGGCCTGGAAGGAGACTCTGGTGTCTGATGGGGTATGTAAGAAGAGCTCAGACATGACTTTAGTGTAGTAATAGGCACTGGAGCTTGTCATTCCATAGGTCACTAGAAACCGAACCAAAAGGCATCCTTCTCACTGTTCCCATCTCCATTCTCCAGAAACAACAACAACAACAACAAACACAGGAAAACCCATTGCCCTTGGGCCAGCAATGCTACCTAGATGGAAGTCTATCAGACCCACCCCCTAGCGTTGACTGGGGAGGCTGAGGGTGGCAC